CGGCCACCGGAGGGGGCGACCAGAGCCAACCTGTTGCTCGTCCCGTCCCCGGGTGGCGGCACCGCGAGGCAATGCGGCACCCACCGCGCTCATAAAGTTCCGCGGGCAGGAAGTTTGTGCAGAGCGCGGCGAGGAGCACAGCAGCCGGGCCGCGGGCGTCCGTCCCGAGTGGAAGTCGGATTTTGTTGTTTTTTTTCTTGGACAGACACTGACCCTAGGTCTCTAGTCCCAAATGCACCGGCTCGTCTTCGTCTACAGTCTAATCTGCCTGAACTTCTGCAGCGCTCGGGACACTTCTGCGACTCCGCAGACCGCATCCATCAGAGCTTTGCGCAATGCCAAGCTTAGGCGAGATGGTAAGCGGCTCATTTATTTATTTTTTTTAATTGAAAAAAATATATGTTCTGCTTTAGGCAACCTTCTCTTGCCCCCGTTTTTCGCGGGAACGCGGACTGAATGCACTGTTTCGGGAGGTGATGACTGCGGGTCCCCAGTCCTAGGAGAACCCCTCCTTCCAGAACGGGGTTGGAAGTGTGGGGCGCGTCTGTGGGCGGCTGGAAGGGGCAGGTGGTCCCTCTCGCCAGACCCTAGAAAATCAGCTGTGCCCGCGTAGCCTTCATCCCAGACTGCTGCGTCTCTTCCACAGCTGGAGAAAGTTTGAGGCTGCGCCGTCCGGGTTCACACGCTTCACCTTTTGAACTGGAAGCTAGCGAAGCCCGGCACTAGGGATAGGTGGCCCTCGCCCGGTGGTGCTTATTTATGTGGGGGGTGGGGGGGGGGAGGAACTGCGCCAGCACCGTGGCTGAATGCGCAGCGGAGCGGCAGTGCGCCGCTGCGTTGTTTATTTTGGGGGCAGGCGGTGTTGCCCTTTCTTTCCCTTCAGTGACTTTCGCACCGGAGTCCTGAGTGGCTCAGATTCTCAGGCTGGGAGGAGGGCTGCGGCTTTCCAGGGTAGCGCAGGGACCCGGGCTTCTGCTGCAGTTTCCTTTCACCAAGTTTTCCAGCTGCTGGAAAGGAGCGGGCATCCCGACCCAGCTCTCTTGCACGAGGTCCCAAGGCCACGCGATTGTCTCTGTTTGCTCCGGAGGACACCTGGGTGCGGGGTTCCAGGGACGCTGGCTGGAGTTTATTTACTTCCTGGGGCTTCCACCACCATCTGAAGATGATTCAGCCTTTGCTATCTAGCTGCAGCTGGCGTTCCCAGCACTTTGCAGCTGTTCTTGCTTTGTACCTAAACAGACACGCAAGTTTTGGGCTTTCCCACATCAACACTCTTCTCTCCCCTCCTGGGTCGAGTTTCACCTCACCGCCCCCCCCACCTCCCCACCCCTACCCCCGCCCCCAGATCAGCGGGCTGCTCTTAGTGCTTTCACTGTTTGAGCTGGCAACAGCTGACTGTCTGGATAGATTCCTGTGAGCTGTCTCTTTCTCTCATGAGTTTTTTTTGGATGTATCTTTAATTTAGTCTTCACTGAAAAATTTTAGGACTTGGAAGAAAAAGCTAGAAATTTTGGCGAACTGTGGTAATCCCAGCCCTCAGGAGGCTGAGGCAGGAGGACTTTCCTGAGCTCAAGGCCAGCCTGGGTTTCATAGTAAATTCAAGGCCAGCCTGGCATACCTAAGGAGTTCAAGGCGGCCTGAACTACATAGCAAGAGTCTGTCTAAACAAAACAAATTAAAATAAACTAATCAAAACTTTGTTATATTTTTTGGTGACAAGTAACTTGGATTTCAGTGTGCTCAAGTAATCTGAAGTAGTAAGATACATGGCATGGGAGACCACAGCTCTCCTAAAATAGTGAGTTTTTAATGTGAAATATTCCAGGAGTGCATTTTTGACTATATAAAGGACAAAAACTGCTTACTAAACTCAAAAGTCAGTTTGGGCTTAAGATCAAATGCTTAGGGTTTGTTTTGCTCCTTAGTATTTTCACAAGAGACAAATATTTTCCGAGTGGATTTTTTTTTTAGACTTGTTAAAGTTTGGACTTTTTATGCCCTTTTAGCTGCATAGAGTAAAATGCCATTTATGATCTGCATGACTTCATAATTTTGTAATCCTTAGTCTCCAAAGTACATGTATCGGTTACAAGAAGTCAAGGACAGAATATGAAAAGTATGTAACCATTTTTCATTAACCCAAGATGCTGGTTAAACCCTAGGCATGTGGTCCTGAAGATTTTTTCTTTTTCTTTTGGAAGGGAATATTCTCACTTCAGATTTCACTGTTAAACTATTCGTCTTCCTACTTAATATGGGAAATGCTTTGTTTCATCCAGATTTTATAAACTGCCCTGTGTTTGTAGTTCTTTATATTTTAGCTAACATGTTTTAGTTACTCTAAAAATATGCGCATAGACATATACACTTTGATTAGTTCAAATTGTTCAATATTTTTCTCAATATCCATCTCCTCTTAGAAACAACATGGAGGAAAAGTAAACATTCAAAAATCATTTTATGTGGACTAAAACTAATGAGTACTCCCAATGGGTTATTAGTTTGAAAAGTTTTCAAATGGCAGATATTCTTGAATTTCTGTGCCTTCTCGGAGAACATCATTGATGCTTCAGAGAGAGTATGACTGGGCCTCAGAAAGTGAGAAAGCCTTAGGCATTAAAATATTTTGTGTTCCTCCAGAGAGGCAGTATCCATCAACAGATATATAGTATATCTGTGATGCTGACATTTCATAGGGAGGGTGATTAGAAAAATGCCTAAAATGATTTTTTGAGAGTCTATGGTTGATAATCAAAGAGATCGAGAAATAATTCCAGAGAATTTTGATGAGAGACTAGGGAAAAGAGCTCTGGAAAGCATCTGGGTATCAGCAGGAAATCCTGGTGACAATAGTTGAGCTGACAGAAACTAGGAACTTACTAAGTTAAGCCATGCGTCTGCTTTCCAAAATTCTCAGCTTTCTTTCCCAAATTTCCTTAATGGCTCATTGGAGAAGAAAATATTCATGACATTTTGATTATCAGGTTTAAAAAATGAAATGGTCTTCATTCCGGAATGGAGAAAATTGCAGGCTGCACCACTGCTTGGTCAGGTTTTTAAACTTTTGGACTTGAAACTATCAAAGGTTGGGGATACATGGGAGGAGGAAAAGTCAAAGAGTGGACTTCTCAGGGAGATTGGTACCTGTCTGTATTCTGTGTATCCATCCATCCATCCATCCATCCATCTGTCCATCCATCCATCCATCCATCCATCCATCCGTCTGTCCATCCATTCATCCATCCATCTATCCATTTATCTGTCCATCTATCCATCCATATATCCATCTATTTATACATTCATCCATCCACCTATAAGTAAAAAGAGGCATGATGCATTTTGGCACAGTACTTGTATCTGGAGCAGGACATAACTATAATATATGCTTGAGGAAGACTTGGGTGTGGAATACAGTAAGGGGAAATACAGAAAATAAAAATTTTCCAAACATGAATTTAGGGGCTTCGAAAATGTATCAAATTACATATGGTTGACAATCACAATTAATCAGTAGCTGTGACTCTTGAGTGACTCTTATCTGGCAGTGGAAGCATCTTTGTAGCTCACTAACATACATTTGTTCCTGCTCACATCCTTGGTTGCTGCCTAACGTTGGGATCAAGAAAGGAACAAAAAAGGGAATTGTCTTGCAAAAAAGGCACATGGTGTGTTGGAGTCTGTCCAACTGAGTACAAAAAAGCCCTCATCTTTGGTTCATGTCTAATAGCTTCAGAGAACTGGAGTAGCTAGGAAATGATAGGCAGACACATGGAGTTAGGACTGCGATAGTCTTCTGCCATCATAGGAGGTTGGTCTGCCTTCATCTTCTGGCCTTCCCAAAGACTCCAGTACAATCATCTCTTGTTCTAAGGAATATCTCCAGAATGTTCCATCTGTAGAAAGACTGAAAGTGGCCTAGTGAAGGAGGGTACTTGAAACTTAGTCCCTCTCTCCAGGGGAATCAAGCTTCTACTATAAGAAAGATTGAAGTATAATAATTTGAAGAACATTACTGAATGTTTATAAAATGGTACCTCAGTTCACAAATATAATTTGTTTTATAATTTTGGGGAAGGTACCCAGGGTTGTGTTGGTCACCCGGTATAAAGTTTGTGAAGGGAAACAAAATTCTGTTGAGCACTTTTGAGAATGGAATTGTTTGCAAACAGAAGCTTCATGAACAGAGATTTTTTTTTTTTCAGTACCAGGGATTGAACTCAGGACCATGCACTTGCCAGGCAGGCACTTATTCTACAGAGGTATCTCCCTGGCCCATGAACCGACATCTTACTGTGTTTCTTTTTATCAAATTTATTTTTCTTACAATAAATTGATTTACTTTTGATACTCATTCCTCAAAACAAGGAAAAAATTCATTTTAACAGTAGTGCCTGCATATTTGTACTTTAGTGCCTCTGCAGTTGGTGCTTTTGCAATAATAACTGGTGTGAACTCATACTGTGGGTCAAGAAGTATAAAGATAGCAATTAACTGACATGGTTACTTAGTTATTTAAAAGTCTAACTAGATAGAACTTCCGGAGTATGGGTTTAAAAATACAAGTGTGACCTTTTGTTGCTTTGCCAAAATACAGGTGTTGCTGATAAATGATTCTAGACTTAGTTCTCTTTGGTTAATATAATGGTACTTCAGTCAGCTAGTCTCATTATCCAGTGACAGTAAAGCAGTTGATTTTTTTGTAAACTGAACTACTTGTTTCACGAATTCTAAGAATGAAAGCATGGGCAGAAAAAGGAATTTAGGAAAGTGTTTATTGGAAATAACTATATCTTGGAGATACTCACCAGAAGAGAACTCCAGAAGGATTGCTCACATGTGCTCTTTGTCTTGGTCTGACAGATAAGCAGGGTGCAAGAGGCTTTGTAGAAGTAAAAAAAAAAAAAAAAATCAGTTACTTAGCTGGAAACCATGAAGCCTGCATTTCTAAATTATTCTAGCCCAGATAGCCAAGAATAGCTGCCAACTCACCTAGCATACTCTGCCTAAGAGCGCTCTTCCTGGTAGGAAGAATATTTGTCTATTTTTGTCTTAGCTTTCATTTTGTTATTGTGGTTTCTTCTACATTGTTAAGTTTAACTGTGATTTGAAGTAGCTCCTACTAGGATGTCTGTGCTAGTTTCTTTTCATCCAGGCAACTGTCTTTCCAGCTGTGTATAAGGTAGGCTAGCTCAGTGGTGCACAACTTGGGTTGTGTGTGCCACAGGGGGCTGTTTGACGTCCAGGGAAGCTGTCACAGTTTATCCTCACCCGGCTCCCTGAATTGCCAATTACACTCTATTACAACAGGCCTGTAGTTTTATTAATTGCACTGTCATAGACTTCAAAGTAGTGAAGC